TGGTAAAAGGTTATAGTTGAAGTCAAAATTAATGTGCATTAGTTGTAAGCCATTGCATACCGAAACGTTAAGCCTATACGACAACTGTTACCATGCATCAAATTGCATGTTTGTCCCTCATTGTGACACTGCATGAACAAAGTGGAAAATATTGTAGATTTGCATCGTATAATTTAAATGACAAATATTTAATACATCTTCAAAGTATGTATAATTAAGCAGCTTTGAGACAATGAAAGCTTACATGCAGTGTTAGAATAACAGCATGCGTTTCTGTTTCCATTTCTCTAACGAAATGTACAGCAACAAATGCCGAGCCTTTGACATGGGCTTCATTGCTGTGTTGTAACGGTTATTGTGATAAGGTGGAAACTATATTTTACAGGTGAAAATACATGAAAATATAATAATATCGTTATGAATGATAACAGAAAACGGTGCAACGCACATCAAGTCCAAAGAAAGCAAATTTACCGCTTTGTATTTGGATCGGGGAAATAGCCTTTCATAGCCTTTAATCATGGAATATAGGGCTGGATAATGCATCATTTCTGGTTCCATTTCACTCTAAAACACATTTTGCTAAAAGCGGCATAAAACCATACTCACTCACTCACGCTAAAACATTACTCAGATTAAAGGCTGATGGCATTCCGGATTTAGAATCTTCATATCCTTGCTTAAATGAAAAATATATAACCCGCAACACTTACCCCAAAGCCAAAGGCATTTTGCGCCAGGACTGACACCACAAAGAAAAAAGCAAATCAAACTTTGAGCATTATTATTATGACAGTGTACACCTGAAACAAAATAAAATGCATTACTATTTAAATTGTAATACTTCTGGAGAGTATGCATTGGTTCATATTTAAAACCCTAGTTTAGTCTGACGACAAAGGCTCATGCTGTAATTTATCCTTTCTGTTTAATTATACTGTAAAACTGTGCTGAGATACATGTCCTTGGTGACGAATAATGTTAAAATATGGAATGGGTTTAATTGGCAGAGTTTTCAAAAGTGATACAATTTGATTACCGTATGTTCACATTACAAATTATGACTGGGCTTGTCAGCACCATGCTCTTGACCATGCCCTTCAAAGTAGGAAGCAGGTTCCACAGATTTTACTGACAGCATGAGTGAGTGAGTGAGTTTAGCTTTCTGCCGCACTTAGCAATATTCCAGCTATATGGCGGCGACTGACAGTATGATATAATTGCAAATGCTGATCAAAGCACTGTCACTTTTAACTCACTCGAGTGTTCATCATACGTACCTGTTCAGCTATAAGATCAATTTGCGAATGTACAGTGACTACCAAGTATATGTATTTATACCCAATTCACATGCTGCATATGAACTATCGAACAGAAAATGCGTCGCATTTCACGCCGGATCAGTTAACGATCTGACAGCAACGTGTGACGTTAGTATGATCAGCTCTTGATCTTGATAAGTTATCGTGATACATACCTGTTCAGCTGTAGGATCAAACTGAGGATGTACAGTGCCTAACAAGTGCCTGCAATTATACCTATTTGCCAAGCTGCATATGAACTGATGAACTGACAATGTGTTGCATTTCATGTCAGATATCCGTACGATCAGGTAATGATCTGACAGCAACATGTGACGTTGCTCTGATCATCTGTAGATCTTGACAAGTTATCGTGATTCACATGACACATGTGTCATTGACACTTCACCGAACTTGAAGAGTGGAAGAAGAATTGCATACGACTGCCTGTTTCTTTTGGTAGAATCTGTCTTTTCAACAGAGAGGTATGGTAGTGGGGACGACAAAAGTTAAATATTTACCTATATTTCCTTTTACACATAGCAAGTAAGCTGCCATGATGCCTGGACATTTTAACAGACATCCTATCCACTGTGTTTTTTAACTTGTTCGAGTAGACAATGCTTTGTACAAGTACTGTTAATTAAACACCACGGTGAATGGGTGATGACTTTCATTCAAACTGTGTTAACAGTACGTGTTGGTCAAACTGTTAAACTTTTCCAAAGATCAATGACAACATTTTGGAAGAAGTGTAAGTTCTTCTTGGATAGATCTGTTATCTTAAAGTATAATGTCTATATAACATTTTGATCACGAAACAAAAATGGAGTTTCAGAAAGGATCGGGCTTATTTCAATTCAATGTATTACAGCACTTCAGATATCAGTTCGACTGTTCCCACCATACGAAATATATATCTTTTCTCTTTATAAAATCCATATTTTACACTCACTTTCTATATCCTTATGAGTTTTTCAGATTTTTTATTAATCGTTTATTTATCAGTTAAATATTATCAGAAAACTAACATAAGACTTGTGACATTGTGATGTCTTTTCAAAATCGTTATTATAATTGTCCTCAGCTGCTTCCGCGTTAATAGCATGATGTGACTAGATAATCATAATGACATATGTAAAGATATCCTTTAGTGATGGACATGCTTCATCTAAGCTCAATGTAGTCAGATTGTACATGTCATGTTGCATTTCATGTCAGAGATCCGTAAGATCAGAGATCCGTAAGATCAGGTAAGGATTTGACAGCAACATGTGACGTTGCTCTGATCAGCTGTAGATCTTGACAAGTTATCGTGATTCACATGACATATGTGTCATTGACGCTTCATTAAACGTGATTTGGTGGTCAAAGATTCGCAAGCAATTACTCCTGCGTTTGGCATTTTGGTAGAATCTGACCTTTTCCTATTTTCACATGTGACTATTAATCTGACATTGCTGATGGGTATTCTTTCTTTTTCAACTTGTTTCAAGAAGCGAATCAGTCATTTCGATAAACCACCGTTGTTGATTTGATATATCTCTCATTCAAACTGTGTCCATGCAAATATGTTTGAGATGTATATTTTTAACACGGTTGCATGACCAAGAAAATGTTCACTTGACATGAATTTATTATCTTACCATGTATGTATACTGTTGCGATCACGACACAAAAAATGCAAAATCAGCTCTATGCTTTGAAGGATACTTTTCAGCTATAAGTGATTTCCCCCACAAAACGAAAGAGTGTGAATTTTTCCTTCTCATAAAATCCGTTTTTTCCAGTCACTCACTTTCTCTCACTACCATAAGCATTTTTTGGACACTAAAACAATGTACGGGCTTCATGCTGGTGTGGGGGCTAAGTCATTCCTTTATTAGCTATACACGTCAACAAAACAAAATAACCTGCACATTCTTCAAACGACCTTGATGCCTGTAGAATCTGTAGACATTCAAGGAGGTACATTCTGTGAGGTCTATTCAAAATTCATTTTATTCTCTTCACTTGTAATCATCACTTGTAATTACCTGGCTTTCTTCTTCTTTCAGATAGTGATGACCACATGTAGATAAACCTTTTGTGATGAAATGATTAAGATTATATCGGAGGTCGTCACTCACAGCTCACGACTAGATAGAAGATAACAACTTAAACACCTGGGGGTAAATTTCATTTTACTGGACAGAACGGCTTCACTGGTTTACGATGTTGACGTGATAGGTCCACGGTAAGGGCGATGTGATCGAAAACCTGCAGCCCTCAAACGCCTTGATACAGTTTGTCGACTGATGACGTGGCCCAGAGCATACCTTGCTGATGGCGTCACTGGGATGAACCTGTTTCTCAGGTGGATGACTCTCAGGAAGCGGTCAGGTGTAGTGACTCGTGGTCTTCCACATCCGGGCCTGTCTATAGTCTCTCCTGTTTGCCGTAAGCGTTGCAATAACCTAACTATGGTATTGCGAGAACAACGAAAAGTCTTGCCTGACACAAAGTCAGTCGCCTAACCCGCTCAGTCACCGCGACTTCCGCTGAGCTGAGCGGGTTAGGCGAATGACTTTGTGCGCTGGCGATTAGGGTGTTGGTTCGAATCCCAGATTGGACTCAACCCAACAAAGGTACTAGAATCTGTACTTTACTAAGAAAGTGTAATCCCAAATATGACATATGTTACATTTAGTCACTTTCTAAAAGGCACTGTGTAAACACTCCCATAACACACATGTCCATGAGCAGAACTTCGAAGTCATAATGTTAAGGTGACATCTCGTGGGTTGAAATGAGCTTAAACCCAGTGCGTGAATGAGCACTGGATGGGTTCGTGCTTGCGCGTTTGCTTGTATTGGCCCTGACATGTGTCTGTTTCTTCGTGTTGGCCTGCTGTTCACTAGATACTATGGTGCAGTTTGTAAAACCTAATTTTGTGACTGCCAGTCGACCCATCCTTCTTTTTTCTCCGAGCCACAGCCACGATTTTTACCTTTTAAGGTAGTTTGGTATGACTCATCCAGGGGACAACTCCCACTATTGGCTCCGTTGATTTCACTTGAAGTGATGCTGCAGCTCAATCAGCTCTTGATAAGACTTTCGCTCCACTTCTGATACCTCATTCTCATTTTATATCATGATATATCATTGAAGAACAGTGCTAATATTGTCCTCCTGACAGTGAATCTATCATAGTCACAGTGTATAACATAAACGAGTGTTTCCAGATAGTATTCTGGTGTTTTTAGCACACAACCCATGGTGTAAGTATTGCTGGGAAATCGAGTAGGAAGCATACGATCCAAAGTAAGGTGGTCCTACTAATGTAGGATAGCCTAGTCTTAACATAGTTACATTGAATAATCTGATACAAACTGTGATACATACCGTACTGTTTTAGCGTCCCTTGTCGACAGGTATTTAATTATAACTAACCTGTTCTCGCCGCTAAAAGGTACAATATTGCCGATGCGATGTTAAAGTTTAAGTCACTCACTCGATCATTGTTTAGTGTTTTGGGAAAGTGAATTTGATTTGACGCATGCTACTTGATGACGGTTCATATAATAATTTGGTAAGAAACCCGAATACATTGCCATTAAACACGCTTCCATTTCTTTTGGCAGCAACAACAACTGTACATACACATGGGTCAACATCAGTTTGGTATGTTTGAAATCACTTTTTATTGTCATGCATGTCATGAACACATATCATGATGCTCAGATAAACGTATACGTTATATCTATTGACAAGTCATTCTGTTCATGTGTCCACGCAGACAGCGGAGAGATGCACAGCATGACATGGCGGGCATGCCATTGACCCTGCATTCGTCATTACGGCGACGACACTGTAAAATACAAATGAATATATTTACATATCCTCATATCGTACAATCTCTTTGGATCATGTGGATTCGTGATCATAAGTAGATTGTGAAATTACTATGTTTGTAAAACTGGATTTGAATGCATACATATGATGACTTATACATAAGATACTTAAGAAGTATCGTAACTACGTTCAAATGACCAGCTTCAGAGGTGTGTTATTTGGGATTCAATGGGCTCAAACACAGCACATGACTTGATTGAAAGTCCTTTTTTTCTCATGACACTTGTGAGCATTCAAAAGCTTTCATGGAAGGTTTCGATACAGGTTACTGAAAAAAGGTTCAGCAGCGTATTTCCGAATTTAACGCACATCCCATAGATATTCTCTTTTTCTCATGACATTTGTGATCATTTAATATCCTTGTTGGATGTTGCTCAGAAACAAGTTAATAGAAGAAGTTCGGGAGCACATTCCCCAGTTTAACACGTTATAGTGTGGCAACTGTCAGAGATTGATAAGCTAACTTACCCCCATACCACCGCCAATTCCACCGCCAATACCACCGCCAATTCCACCGCCAATACCGCCTCCAATGTTTCGCTGGCATGTTTTGATGTTACCCATTGCATACTGACACGTCAAGCCATTACAGCAAGTGTTTCCGGTCATCACATTGCATGTTTGTCGTTCGTTCTGACACTGAATGAACAAGGTTGAGTTTGTTGTGAATTTCGTATGATTTAAGTAAATAATGTTTTACACATCTTCCTACTATATATAGTTATGAAACTACACCACATTACCGGCAATTACGCAGTGTTTTGATAACAGCAGGAATTTCTCCCTTTATGTACAGGAAAATATGAAGCAAATGGTAAAGTAATAAAATGGGCTTCATTGCTGTATTGTGTCATCATATGGATATTAAAATACGGCTAAAAGATTATTGTTGATGTGAAAATAAATGAGCATTACAATTTTGACTTATTACCGAAAAAAGGAAATAGGAATTGGAACGAATACATATTTTCCTTTGGATGTTACAAACAGAACATCAGACCACCATATCCCTTAATCATGGAATATAGGGATTGATATGCTATAATTTGTGTTTCCTTTCGCCCTCTAAAACATTACTCAAATTAAAGGCATTTTGCTCAGATTTGAAATTCCTTTATCCTCATGTACGAAGATTAATTATATCCGAAAGAAGGTTGTGACACTTACCCCAAAGGCCAAGGTATTTTGTGTCAAAAGTGACACCACAAGGAACAAAGCAAGACACACTTTGAGCATCATTGGTATGCTTGAGCACTTCTGAAATAACAATGCAATACAATTCAAATTTTGAAGAATATAGTGCAGCGACTCCTACGGTAATTAAATCAGGGCCCTTATTCTCGAAACGTTCGTAGCCCTAAGAATTCTTAATTTTGATCGTAGCCAATGGGTTCAGAATGGGCTTAAGAAGTTCTTAGGGCTACGAACGTTTCGAGAAAAGCTAGCCTGTTCTTTAAAACACTGCTGCAATAAAGTGCTCAGACAGATGAAAGATCGAATAATGCTATAAAATGGAACTGTGCCAAATTGACCCATCTTTATAAGATGCTAGAATGCCGCCTGCAAAGTTGCGTGTTTTTGTCGTTCAGAATCAGATAGGTTTGTCCGCAGCATACTCTTTCCCTTGCATTTCATCAAAGTAGTATCCAAACCTTCCACTCTGTTGGCAGTATCATATAATGTATGCTGCCGGACACTCGAGTGTAAATCATACATGTCTACAAACCTGTTCAGCTGTAGGATCAAACTGAGAATGTACAGTGCAAAACAAGTACTTGTATTTATACCCATTTCCCAAGCTGCATATGAACTGATGAACTGACAATGTGTTGCATTTCATGTCAGAGATCCGTAAGATCAGGTAATGATTTGACAGCAGCATGTGACGTTGCTCTGATCATCTGTAGATCTTGACAAGTTATCGTGATTCACATGACACATGTGTCATTGACGCTTCACCGAACTTGAAGAGTGGAAGAAGAATTGCATACGACTGCCTGTTTCTTTTGGTAGAATCTGTCTTTTCAACAGAGAGGTATGGTAGTGGGGACGACAAAAGTTAAATATTTACCTATATTTCTTTTTACACATAGCAAGTAAGCTGCCATGATGCCTGGACATTTTAACAGACATCCTATCCACTGTGTTTTTTAACTTGTTCGAGTAGACAATGCTTTGTACAAGTACTGTTAATTAAACACCACGGTGAATGTGTGATGTCTATCATTCAAACTGTGTTAACAGTACGTGTTGGTCAAACATATGTGAAGATTCCACTGTTAAACTTTTCCAAAGATCAATAACAACATTTTGGAAGAAGTGTAAGTTCTACTTGGATAGATCTGTTATCTTAAAATATAATGTCTATATAACATTGTGATCACGAAACAAAAATGGAGCTTCAGAAAGGATCGGGCTTATTTCAATTCAATGTATTACAGCACTTCAGATATCAGTTCGACTGTTCCCACCATACGAAATATATATCTTTTCTCTTTATAAAATCCATCTTTTACACTCACTTTCTATTTCCTTATGAGTTTTTCAGATTTTTTATTAATCGTTTATTTATCAGTTAAATATTATCAGAAAACTAACATAAGACTTGTGACATTGTGATGTCTTTTCAAAATCGTTATTATGTATTCGCTCCGCGCAACATGTAATTGTCCTCAGCTGCTTCCGCGTTAATAGCACGATGTGACTAGATAATCATAATGACATATGTAAAGATATCCTTTAGTGATGGACATGCTTCATCTAAGCTCAATGTAGTCAGATTGTATCGGAAAAGGTGACTGACAGACTATTATTGGATGCAAGATTACATGTTTATCTGATGTATCATCCTTAATTGGCGCGTCCCAGTGGTATAAATACGCCAGGAAAGTCAAATAAGTATCTTCATTCCAGGTAGTCAGCCGTACAGGTATATCCTTGTATGTTATATGTGAAATTCAAGTGGGTTACAGAAATGTTTTCTATTTCCAACAGATATACCTTTATTATTTTATGGGAGACCTGATATGATGAAATTTCTGTTGTCTTTTAAACTGAACACCATAATTTATATCAAAGTAATGATTCAAAGTAAGAAGATATTTGCAGGTATATCGTTGTTTTTCTATGACTGAAATTCAAGCCTATTAATACAAAATAATATGTATTTGATGTTTATATGAAATGCTTACTAAAAGTTAACTTGAATTGAAACACAGGGTGACGTAAATGAATTTCCTTTTCAGTTTTACGCCATCACAATGATGTCCAAGGTGTGTGTTGCTCTAATCCTCGTTGCATCAGCTCTGATTCAAGATTCGCATGGCTTTGTAAGTTCTAAATCATGTGATACTGGTCATGCGTGTTCAGGTTACATACCAAAACCCTTAGAGCTACGACTGCTGTAGCTCTGTGTTTATGTATGTGAGTTACGGTCGTCTTAGCGAGTTGTCCAACGGCCCCAGGGCCAGTTTAAACGTTTATTCTGACTGGTAACAATCTTTGAAAAAGGCGACCTAATGCCAGATTTTCATGTTTTCATTGTGCGATCATCATACATTAGTGATTGAGTGAAAGGGAATTTTAGTTTCAGTGTATTTCATGAGACGTCCGGTTTTTCATTCGAATTACACCCGTCACGGGTTAGAATGAACCTTCAGTAGCCCATGCTTGCCGTAAGAGGCGCTTTGAGCATCCTTATGTTTGGAAATAGCGCTATATAAATGCACTATTATTATTATTATAACGGGATCGGGTGGTCAGGCTCGCAGACTTGGTTGACAGATGCCATCGTATCCCATTGGATCGATGTTCATGCTGTTGATCATTGAATTGTCTGGTCCAGACTCGATTATTTACAGACCGCCGCCATATAGCTGGAATATTGCTGCGTGCGGCGTAAAACTAAACTCACTCACTCACTTTCGGATTACACTGTGTTCATTCCACCTCTGCTGTGGAAGGATGGCGTGCATGGATGACATGTTTTTAAGTGACGCGTATTTACAACCAAATACATAATTAAATCTTTGAATACCATTGATATTATCAAGAGCGCCAATCAGCTACTGGCTTCCCGTGTAAAGTGTCTATCGTTTTCATCTTATCACGAGTGTTGTTCAACATGTACAAATGTAAGTTTCTGCTGCCTAGATTTTATTCTCCTGACAAACTATTAAGAATATATTCTGGTCCGAAACGCCTAGTTCCTGATAACAAAGATCACATCCTTGAATTACCCCACTATTCATGTCCTAACTGATATTATATATTGTTCATTGCAAAAGTTATTTTGTTTTCCAGTGCAAGACTGAGGGGCAATTGTGCAATGTGATGAATGGTGAAACCTGCTGTAATGGCCTGATGTGTGAGTCTGGTATAAGAAACACGCGAATCTGTAAGAGAAACGTCGGCAGTGGTACTGGGGTAAGTTGATAACTAGAATGTAAGATGAACAAATTAGCAAAAATTATGTTATCTTCTTTCGGCAGTTGGGAAAAAATGTGTCTGTGATCTATTCCTGTGTGACACCTTCCTCCAGACTGTAACATACATTTCATATTTTGACAAGTGATACATTCACATGTATCTCTTGAACTCACTCTATTTAAATAGCCCTATGCAAATGTACAACATTTGCTGACGTGAGTAAATGTGCAGATGTGCACATATGCATATGTGTGTATATGTACATTTTACTACGTGTTCACATGAATTTAAGTAGGGTGTGTAATTAAGGTATCATAGCCCAGGCACAGATCTTGAAAAACCTGAGCCTGTTAAGGAGCTTCAGTAGTAAAAGACTATTTACCAGTGACGTATGGGAAGAGAAATAGCTTGTACATTTAGTGTAGACATACTTATTAAATGAAACATTGATTTGGATTTAACGCATATCTAGACAGTTTCTCATGAAATGGAACAATTATGTAGCAGTACATTCTGCTTTGGATTGCGATCTTTACACACGCAAACACTTTTTGCTAAGTGTTCACAACATTTTCATTCAGATGGAATTTACATACAAGTAAATGTATATTTGCACCTCCGCCGTACCACATGCAAATTTACCCCTGGTGTATTTCGTTTATCAGCTTGTCCTATGCTTACAATGAGAAAAACAGAAAGAAAGATTCTATCTAATGCAAACCCAAATGCATGAAGTGCATCATTTGCGTAATGTACATTTATTCCTGAATAATTAATTGTCCGCAAATCTTATGTCAAATCCTAGTTCCCTCACCAAACCCCAAACCGAAGTTGTGTTTTCAATTTGATGACATTAGTTAATTACTCCATATCTCCATCGTGTTCATAACATCTTCATTGCTTTTTTGGTTTTGTTTCACAGTGTCGTCTCCGGAATGAAGAATGCAAAATAAATGGCATCGACGCCATGAAATGTTGTGGTTCACTCCGCTGTATGCCTGGAATGATGAACAAGATGATCTGTCAGTAGATGGGATCTGATGACTAATCTTTCATATTGAATATCTGAGTCATTTGATTTGTTACTTGAATGTCTTCTGAATAAAACTATGACGTCTCATTTTCGAAATAAATATTGCGTTATTCTCTTATGCTTTACCTCAGACATATTTTCGAAAGGGCAGTGTAATGTTCATTTCATGTATGAATTCTCTGAACATACCTCTGTTTACATACTGGGCATGTGGTTTGTGCGAAAAAATGATACCACAAGGAACAATGAAACACACAGTTTGAGTATCATTGTTATGCCTTGGCACACCTGCAACACATTGTAAGTCTTATTAAGTCCGAAGAGTAAGGACTAGTGTAAAACCCTAGTGTAGTCAGACGAAAGAGGCTGAATTAGATACAGTAACTTTGAAATTCGTTGTGCATATTTGTGTCTCTTTCTGGTGCAGGGACCCGTGAAGATCCGGGGTAGAATAGGTCTTCAGCAACCCATACTTGCGACTATGCTTGTCGTAAGAGGCGACTAACGGGATCGGGTTGTCAGACTCGCTGACTTGGTTGACACATGTCATCGGTTCCCAATTGCGCAGATCGATGTTCATGCTGTTGATCACTGGATTGTCTGGTCCAGACTCGATTATTTACAGACCGCCGCTATATAGCTGGAATATTGCTGAGGGCGGTGAAAAACTAAACTCACTCACTCACTCTGGTGCAGGATCTGACTATCACTGCTTCCAATCACTGATTATGACTTGGTTTATCAGCACAATTGTCTTCCTCTTGGAATTCGTCAAAGTAATAACCAAGCTTTTCTC